GTTCCCTCTGCCAAAACATAATTAGAGAGAACAGGAGGCTCAAATAAAACCAGTCAACGTGAAAGGCTGACATCTGCTTGGGTGGAAGGGAGAGGACAGGGCACGGAGGAGGCTGGGCCACTTCCCCTTGAGGCTAAGGAGCAGAGCAAGTCTGATCTGCCTGCCTTCATGAATTACCCGAGTCCTGAGTCAAATTCTAAAGGGGACCTGAAATTGAGCTGGTGTGCCAGTCTTAGGAAACTTCAGGGTGGAGCTGGATTAACTGACTGAGTTAACAATCCACTGGAGACAACCAAGCCAGACAGTGTGACTGAGAGCCCGGACATTTCTAAGCTCTGTGGTGGAGAGGGAACGGTGCCTTAAGAGCCTGGGCCTTTGAATTTAGAAAGATTTGGGTCTGAATCCTTTCTGTATCACTGACAAGCTGTGTGACCTGAGACACACGGCCTCTGAACCTCAATCTTCTCATCCATAAAATGGGGCTGAATCACACCACATACTTTCAGGCAAGACTGGAGAACTCGAATAGTGCTAATATACGTAACACATCGGTTCAGTGTCTGGCACACATAAATGCCCAAATGTTCACTGTGTTTAGGATGATTAGAAGGGTACAAAAGGACATTGGAAGAAAAAGATGGCAGAGCCTGGCAACCTAGTAGAAAATTTGACTCCAGCAGGGAGGGTATAGCTCAGTAGTAGAGTGCATGCTTAGCATGTGCAATGTCCTGGGTTCAATCCCCAGTACCTCCATTAAAAAAACAAAAAAAGAAAAAAAGTGCCGGTAAAACAAAACCAAAACATATTGTTAACCTAGAAATCTCTGTCCATTGAAAATATCCCTAATAAATGAAGGCAAAATAAAAACATTAAAAAAAGAAAGAAAAGAAACCTTGACTCCAAAAGGCTCAGATTCTGTCTCCTTGGAGCAGCAGACTAACGCGCCCCCATGAACGGGCTGCGCTCTGCACCACCTCCCATCCTGTGGGACCCTCACAGCAACACCCCCAGGCACCACGAGTCTGCTCAGAGCGGTAGGTGCCCTGCCTCGGCGCACACAGGGAGTCGCGAGTGGTCTGAGACATGTCCCACTACCCCCGCTGCATCATCCGTGCTACGAACGTACAGAAGCGGCATTCAGTTTTCAGGGAACGTTTCCGACCTGGCTGGGTGGCCCTCTGCCCGGCGGAGAGCCAGGCCAAGGCTGCTCTGGACAGCTGCCCCAAAGCAGTGGCTCTGAATTGAAGATGTCCCTGCAATTACCCAGAGAACCTCTTTTTCTCTTTATTTTTTGGGGGGGGGGAATCAGGTTTATTTTATTTCTTTGTTTGTTTATTTTAATGGAGGTACTAGGGATGGAACCCAGGAACAAGCTAAGCACACACTCTACTACTGAGCTACATCCTCCCCCCTCCGCCGAACCTCTTTCAAAATACACATGCCCAGTCCCCCTCCAGCACTACCGCTTCTCAACAGGAGGGGTGGGGCGCCAGGAATCCATCTGTACTGTTAAAACAACAAGGACAAAAACCGCCCTGGGGGATCTCAAGGCAGGACTGAGGTTGAAAATGGTAGCTTGAAAACGGGGGTTTGCAACTCTTCCTCCATCTCTCTACGGTGTTTGGGAAGGACTGCGTGGCTTGCTGTGGATTAATTCTCATGGGGGACAGGGTGCAGTTTGGAAAAGACCCCAGAAGAGTCTCACTTGCGCCACCCTGGCTGGGGGACACTGTTCCGAAGGGCGAGGTGTCAGCCCAGAGAAGAGACACTGAGAATGGGGAACACACTCCAGCTTTGCTGTGGGTGGTGACTCTGCTGATGGACAAACCAGGCCTGCTCAGGAGTGGGAAAAGACCTTCCCAACAGCAGCAAAAATTAGCCCGGAGGCCTGTTTCTTGGCATGGAAAGAGCGTCCTGATACATGGAAGAAGAAGAAAAAACCCCCACACAATTCTAAAAACTTTCTATGGTCTGATCCAATTTTGGTAAAAAAACAAGCTCTCTCCTTATTTCAACCTAACTACTGGTCTATAGAAAATAATCCAGAAGGCTTAACACCGAAATGCTTAGCACTGTCATGAGGGGTGAAGTGGGAGGCAGTGATTATAGGAGATTTTTTTTAACTCGCAATGTTTCGGCATTGATGGTGTTTCAATAATAAGCGTAAGTTGCTTTTATTTTTAATAACTTTAAATTATATGAAACGCCAAAACATTCTCCTTGTTAAAACAACTTTGGAGGAGGGAGGCTCCCTTTGTCCACTCTCTGACCTTAGGACCTTCCCAGAGGTGACTATCACCATTGTCAGCAGGATGTATACCTCTCCAGGCTTTTTCTTTGCATTTACACACCTACCGATACTTAATTTGAGCCCTTCCTCATATACTATATATGCTGTTCTGCACCTTGTGTTTTTCCACTCAACGGCAGGCCTTAATGATCTGTCCGCAACAGCTCACACAAACCTAGTGCGTCACTGTAAGCTTTTACATTTTGAGAAATTAATAAACAATTGAAGTTAACTTTACGGGAACAGAAGAGAAAACACCCCCAGAGTGGCTGGCCTCTGGTCCCTTGGGGACAGCCTGGAATGACAACCCAGCTGGCCTTTCCCCGTCTCATCAGGGCCCAGGCTCTTCCTGCACCTGGGTCCTGCTTCCCGCCTTTACCCAGAAAGCTCGTGTCCAGCAGCTGAAGCCTGGCCATGTCCCAGGCCCGCTTGATGCCAAGGTTGGGTAAGTTGAGGCCGACTTTCCCATTGCTGTGGGGCTGAAGCCGGAGGAATGTTCTCAAGTTCAAAGCCACAGCCAGGGCTACCTGTAGAATTAAAGGTAAAAGCAGTCAGCCTGAGGGTGAGTAGCAACGAGCATGGCTCCTGTCTTAGGAACAAAGGGCCCTTGCCAAAGAGCTGAGAAGAGAGTAAACACTAGCACACAGGCCACTCCTACCCATGCCCTTGGCAGACACTGCTAATCGATCTTGGCACGCTCTCCCATACAACTGGGCACAGCCACTACCAATCGATTAGGAATTAGTATCTATTTCTGTTTGCTCTCTCCGCAAAAAATTCCAAAAGTTCTCAACTCCAAGGAATGGCTTCCCAATAATCATCACACTTTCAAAGATAAATAAGAATGTAAAGACAGGGTGGTGGAGTGAAGAAAGCACAAGCTTTGGGTTCAAACAGACTTAAGTTCACTCCTGGCTCTACCAAGGTGTATGGGACCTTGATCAAATTACCAAGCCCCTCCTGAGCCTCAGCTGCCACATCTCCCCAAAAAAAGGACAATAAGAGTTTAACCTCAGAGGGGAGTTGTAGGAGTTAAATGAGACAATGCATGTTTCAGAGTCTTTTTCTGAAATGCCCGGGTTTGGTCCCTAAACTTAATCTCTTCCCCACTGAAGCTCACTTCCTAAATGACCTCATTCCACCAACAGGGATGTCATCTTTTTGCTATCTTATGGGATGGTCTACAGAAGCCCTTTAGAGGCCCTAAGACCTGTCTTTTCCTTGCCTGGCTGGGGAGAAACTGACCTCTCTGAGCTACTCCCAGGCTATGCCTCAAGGCCTCCTTTCAGCTTCCTTTAAGATTAGTGTCAGGGAAAAGTGGTGCCCAGCCCTCGAAGGCTCTGGGGGCTTGTACCTTGCCATGGACCACGGCATGCTCTCCGTGAAGGATGACTTTCCCTGGAGCGGACACCAGCAGGACTTCTGACAACATGGCTCCTGGAAATCCTGAAAGGGAAAGCCAGAGAGAGGATGGAAGGTCCCCACTCCTTGGAGATCTTCGAGAATGCCTCGTTCCAGCTCATCATTATAACAAAAAAGGCACTTGCTATACCACTCAGCACTTGCTATGGTGCCCAAAAGGCAGGGCAGCAGTCAATGAGACACATCAGAAAGATCTGGGTTCAAACCTAGCTCCTCCACTACCTAGTGATATCTTGGCGAACTCCCTCAAATAGCTATGAACCTCGGCTTCCTCTTAAGTTACACGAGGACAATAACTCTATTTACTTCAACGGGTTTTAAGGTTAAATTAACTAATGCAAGGGAAACCCTTAGCAGTGTCTGGCTCACCATAATCACTTGTTTATGGATAGCTTCTTATTACTGGCTCTGTTCTTGCTTCCAGCTTTTACTATTAGTACTATAAAAGGTGGAAATTTAAATAAAATCAAGGACCAGAAAGGACTCTTTCCTGGGTATTTAGGCTGTTTCTAGCTTGCCACAATTATAAACAGGCTGCAGAAAACAGCTGTTACACACCTTTTTTTTGCACACGTAAGCGAGGATCTCTACAAGACAAAATCCTAGAAAGTGACTTGTTGGGTGTATGGTGTGCCTATTTTAGATTTTTTATATAATGGAAAGTTACCATCCATTTAAGGCTTTACGTGCATTATCTCAACATTATAAAACCTGAACCGCACTGTGTGCTAAGTACTATTGTGATCCCCGTTTCTTAATGGGGAAAACTGAGGCTCGGAGCAAGGAAAGCTATTGCTTGCTTCCGAAACTCAAAATCCCGCCTGTCAGACTTGAGGTAGCCAACCCCTCAGGAAGGAATCTCAGAGTTGGGGAAACTGAGCCAGAGAAGCCGGGAGCCCGACCCAGGGTCGTCCTAGGTCTCAGCCTTGGACCACGAGCCACCCGGCCCCGACACCCCGACCTCTCACCTGTTGCCACTGCCCCTCTGCTCCCGAGCCTGGGCCGCTCCGGAGCTCCATCCCCGAGCGCCCGGGCGCCGGGGTTGGGGGGGAGGCGGACTCTTCCTTAAGCTCAGCCAATCAGAGAGAGCGAACCGGGAGTTCCTTTGCCAATTGGCTTGAGTATTGACCAATAGATGTTGCTAACCAAGTCCTCACGGGTTTCCCAGCCCATCTCCTTCCGTAAACCAATGGAAAGCAAGTCTCTGGAAGTGCCCCGCCCTGGGGCGAGAGCCACGGACCAATGGAAGATGGTGGCTGAGCGGTGGCGCGGCCGGCGGTAGGTGGAGTCATCCCGCAACCTGGATGGGAGCCTGGCGGGGTCAGCTCTCGAACAGAGGCCTGGCGCATGGCGGTCTGGGGCCCGGGAGGTCGCCTTGGCCTGCGCGGGTGCCTCGGTGCCCGCAGGCTACTATGTCCCCGTTTCCAGAGCCGTGGCCCCCAGGGCGTGGGAGACGGGGACAGGTGAGTGCCTGGCTGGGAGGGAGTTCAGATACCTGTCGTAAATTGTGTTGTCGTCGCCATGGTTACGTCACACCACTGGGAGGGCGCCGCAGCAATTGCCAGGTAACGTCTTCTTTTAGTCCTGACGTCACCATGGCAACGTGGGCACCTTCAAAGCGGGAGACCAAGATTCCTTGGCTTAAGACAAGTCCAAACGAAGCCCAGCATCAGTCAGGACAGGGCATAGCCCATGTGGGCCAGGAGGACCATCTTGCCCGGCCTCACAATCAGGAGGGGCCTCAATTCAGATTTTGACCTGTCTCCAAACCAGTGTATACTTTTCGAGGCGGAGATACACCAACACGAAGAGATACACCAACACGAAGAGATACACCAACGCGATCTAAAGATGGCTGTCATCATATAACTTGAAACCTGCACTCCATTCCTGGATCTCAGAACCTAATTTAACAATGGATTAATGTATTTCATAGCTCCAGTAATTTAACCTGGAATAACCTCTTAATGTCACATTTTAATGTTGAAGTCTGCATTAAAGGTGTTATGTTGCTACTTGAAAATGCCAGTTTTCGAACCATGTTTTGGTAATTCTTCATTTTGGAGTATGTTTGAAGCCTCATGGTGTGGAAGTGGTCCTGGGTACTCTACCCCAACTTGTACCCTCTCTTCCA